TTCCAGCAGCCAAGACCGATGTAGTCATAAAAACCGGCTTATATTCACTATCTAATACGAAACCTTTTGAAATCAAGCAGAAACTTCATCTAACCATTCTACCATAGATTTCACATTACTAAAGCCCACACAGAATACCTGTGAGCATTTAGACATTGAATCTTCCTCGAACTAATTACTGCTCACGCTCAATGAGACCCGCGAGAAAGGTGCTAACCCGGCTGAAAACGTGCTCTAGATATAAAAGATACAATAATATTCCTAATTTGTGAAAAGCAATTTGACATACATCGGATCATACAAACTGCACAGTAGACCAAGGTGGCTCGTAAATTGTACAAATAAGGAATAAATTGTGCATATTAATTTACAAACCCAAAGTAGGTACGAAAAATATACTGAACAACTGCGATGTTCCCTAGATATAGTTGAACGTCTCTAGACTCCTCGATAAACCCTCAATAGTTAACAATGTTACGAAAGAACATTTGATTTCTAATCAAAAATGGAAACTGGATATCTGAAAAGCCTGTTTTTGTGACAGCACGCAAAAGCCGCTTCAATTATTATTGTAGTGGAGACTGTAGAGCTTTCAGCCTTCAGACTTCATTTCTACTTGCGCTATTCTCCTGTTAGTTGATTTTTGGCTTATTCCAAAACCGCATTTTGTATGGTTTATAAGTCACGCCGCATAATACTTGGAGCAGCTTATAGTATCCTCGGTTGTAAGATTCATAGTACTGTTTGTTCGTTCCAAATTCCCTTCCGTTCAGCGTATCTATTTATTTGTTCGTTTAGCACTCAATAACTCATTATTATATCAGCTAAGACTTAAGGAAAGTGTCTAAAAAGCCTACCTATTATATCGTCAATTTTAAATACTTCAAGTATTTCTCGAGTTGTGATACATTCAAAAATCCCAAACACTAAAGGTTTATACACTAAGCGGTGATTCAACATCTGAAACCGTTGTTAAGCTACGTCCGCAGTTGACGATATCGTTCTTACATTTATTCCTTCCAAATGTGTTGGTACTGTAAGCATCGGCAACTACCAGTGTTTGCAGCAGACAAAAGAAGAAACAAATTCTCTATAGAGAAATATATACAGGGCCTGCAGTTCTTAAATTAAAGAAATATGTTGGCAGTTGTGACATCTCATTTGTACTGTATAGGTAACGGTCGAAAGTAGAATATCATCTGTGTATGCTGCAAATGCAAGCAACTCTGCTACCAGCTGTGAAATACTTTTTTGAAAATAGCTGGAGATGAACTCACCCCAAAGGGCAGGCAACTATACTGAAAAAGACTTAATTGCATTTCCACATCTAGTGATTCTTTCGCTTCACTGTCAACTTCAATTTCAAAATAACCATCCAAATGGCGAATGAGGGAAAATACAACACCTTTCTCCAAAGTTGCAATCTTTTAAGGACTGAAAATATGAAACTGATGCAGTTTTAAAGTTCTGTTTAGGCCTGTCGAGAAATCTGCACAAAATCGTAAAATAACATTGCCTTTTAAAATTAGAGTTGAAGCAGACGAATTTGATTGTGTAAATAGAGATAAAACAGCTAACCACACCAGTTCATATAGCTCTGCTTCTATAGCAGTCTGGACTGCATACTGTAATGACTCCTTGAGTTGTAGATAAGTTTGAACTTGTGAACTGCGATTCATTCTGCAGTTAAAAAGTTCAAGGAATCCCAACAGTAGCTTAGTAAGATCTCGGCCGCATACAGTACAAGAATTTTATCTAATTTGTGCTAAAAGATTATATCGCTTTTTGACAAGCTTTCAGATGCGACTTCCGACTCCCAAATAAAAAAGTTACAAGTTACCCGTTTTACTGAGTTGATACTCAGAAGTCCCCTACGAAAGCAAATGGACCAAAAAAACAACTGTACCAGGGTTGTCGTTAGTATAATACCAGTCTGATCCTGCCTTGATACCCAAGCCTTTTAACCATTTAGCCAGATCATCAAAAGCAAACTGCTCCGACTGGTAAGACAGTCAAGGCCTGTCCAGCGCCAGAGCATCGTTTCACCACTAATTATGCTCAGGTGAAACTCTCTAACAGCCGCTTTGAGCTATACTGCCGTAGACAGTGATTTTGCGCTATTAAAGTACCCACTTAGTGCGTTCACACATTCTCTCGACTCATTGTTTGTCTTGAATTAAGGAAGATTACTAAACCAGTGTCGCTATAAAGTAAACTAATCTGCCTCACAAAAGTCTCAGCCCAACTCCTGTTCCTCCTTGATAGGGATCTGATCAAACGATGAATATTGCCTGAGAAATTAGGAAGAGCCGGCATCGAATGATTAAAAGGCATCGGTGTTTTAGACAACTGACTGTCACGAACCAGTTATCTCTGTGATAACCCGTCTGAAATCAACTACTAAAAGTCCTCTAACATGAAAGTTTGATAGGTCGAGGTCCCATCGTCTACACTTGTGCTGAAAATTAAAGTTGAGCGAGTCCCTACCTTACGTTACTAAAGATTTCCTGCCTTCTTTAACTAGCTTTAGGAAAAGTGCGTTATTATTTGACAGATGTACTGCCCCCATCAAACTCTTCGTTTGCAGTGTTATCTAAGTAAGTCGAGACAACCACCGAGTAGCCAGCACTTGTACACTAGAAACAAGAGTTACCATTCTAACGGACCTCTTACTTAACCAAAAAAGTAAGAAGTTGATGAAAATAGCGGTATTTTACCGTTGCCCTAAAGCTCTCTCTTATGTCACACCCCTCACAACTTTTACGACGCCAAACTAGAATAAAACCTAACACAGTTTGCTCTGCAAGCCCGTTTTCTCGGCAGCGGTTCCCCTAAACAGTAAGCCGGAAAAGCACAAATCTCATTACTCCATTTATGCTCCAATCGGTAAAAAACCACGTTTATCCTGCGAAAAAAATGCAGTCCGTATATGAAGAAAATAAACTGTGTAAAGAATATAGGTTTATAATGCGAAAAAAATTTCGTACGGAGAAAAAATGACGACAAATGTTGCATAAGCATCGTGATACCGTATTAAAACAGATCGCAAAAGAATTCCACTTGATAATTAATTTAATCGAAACAGTGTAAAGCACCAACAACCAGTAATGTTATACCAAGTTCAATAAATATAAAAAACTACTAAAAATTGCCCTGACCTAACCTATAGTGAAGACCCTTACAAGATTAAATCAAAAAGTAACAACAGTTTTCCAATCTGGAACAAAACAACAATAAAAAGTATACAGGTAAGTGGAGTTATTTAAAATCATTAACTTCTAATCATAAACCAATGATATTGCATCTGGAACTTATTGCGAAGTATTTATATCAAAAAGGATGGTCCATTAAACTAAAACACAGCTGTGAACTTCAAAACTGAAGAAAAATTTGCAGAAAATGAATTTCACAGAGCAAAAATAACACGTTTTTGCTTGAGCCTAGAAGTTTACTTATTTTACATTGCTTGTAGCTAAGGCAGCTTCATTTAGTAACTCAGTCTAACAATGCTGCTTTTAAAGTTTCCAGTAGAACATTACACAGTGTTACTACAGCTATTAAGCTCCTTCCAAAATTTGTTGCAATAACACGTTAGTTATAAATGGCTTCTCAAAAAGTTTCCCTAATGCCTGAATATACAGAAAAATAATATACAAGTTAGAAATAAAGAAACTGAAAACAAATGCCTCGACACTTAAAGCCCGAAATGAAGCTCCAA